AAGATACATGTTTTTTCTCATGTGGTTCTTAGACTTCATATAGATATACAAAATAACGTATGTACACATGACATGAAAGCATAATGATTGTAGGATATAGAGAAATCAAGGTTGACTTAAGTTGCAAGCCCCTCTGCTGGCTAGCTTTTGTAGTGTGGTAGGATATTGTGTAGCCTGATGGTGGTGAAAAGTCATCAAATGGCTTTACCTAGCTGTGTACCCCATATAGTATAATATACACCTTCCAGGCAAGATGTGCCCTCTGGTACAATAATGGCATGGCTATTACAGGAGTAACCAACTGCTTTCCGCTTATAATGGAGGCCTACTTCACAGGAGGGAATTCTTTCCTGGCACTGCAAGCTTGGCCAAAACTTTTGACTGTGGAAGTCATAGGCCCCAGTGAGGATCTCAGTGAGGATGTTGCTGTTATTGTTTTGCCAAATGAACCTGGTGTTAATCTGACTCCTAAGTGTTTGTTTATAACCATAGATCAGTGTTGCTTTTAGCTTTAGTCAGAAAAGCTTTTTTTTTTTTTTTTTAATGTGGGAGACAGTTAAGGTAGAGATTCATAGCTGGTCAATATATTGAGAATAAGTGAATCTTAAGTGCTCAGGCTTAATCTGGACATTTATGTATGTATGTCTAGATTATCACCCCTTTCAAAGTTCAGGAAGATATTGAAAAAGGAATCTAAGAACCAGAGATTAACGAAGAATTCTGTGATACAGCTTCCTGGACACAGCATGGCGATTGCACTCACAAACTACAATAAGCTTTAGCTTTGCACAAGATCTAGTCTAGACTGGGCCTATTGACATTTCATCATGGATAGAGGAAGGATAGAGGTGACACCCTTCTCCTCCATGAGGAATATTGGCAATTAATGGTTTCTGGGCGTGGGGTAGTCATTTTCTTCAATGTTGTGGCTGCTGGTGGGCTGTCCATGCTCCATTTAGTAACTACCTACCCAAGGCCATCCCAGTAACCCTAATTAGATTCACACACACACACACACACACACACACACACACACACCTACAAAACAAAAAAATAGAAAGTGAGAAGAAGGAATTCTGTGGAGATGGGAGGGATAAGACAGAAAATCAGATTCACAGGTGGTGAAATGAGTAAAATATAGACTTGCATGAAATTGTCAAATAAAGAAATGTCATCAGTAACAAAGAAAGTAGAAATCATTGGCAGTGGTGTCATAGGCCTTTAATCCCAGCACTCAGGAGGCATAAGCAGGCAAATCTCTGAGTCTGAGTTTAGCCTGGTCTATAGAGCTAGTTCCAGGACAGTCAAGGTTACAGAGAAACCTTTTGTCTTGAAAAGAAGCAAGCAAGCAAGGAAGCAAACAAGCAAGCAAGCAAGCGAGAGAGCAAACAAATGAAAAAGAAAGTAGAAATGAAACAGGCTATGAGGATAAAGGGGGGAGGAGGAAAGAGGAGAGCAGGTGTTGGAGACCAGCTTCCACAAAAATACCACTTACCAGGGCAGGGGGCATGGAGATTAGAACATTAGTAAAGAGAACAAAGACAGGAGTGAAAATAATAAAACAAAATCATAGGATAGTATCAGGAGGAAGTTCCAGTGAATGAATACTGAAATCACCTGCGTTTAATTTCCATTTGCTTAAAATACCCCAACCCCAAAAGGTAGGAGTAAGATAAAAACTGGATTAACATGATACAAGGAAATAAATAGACCAGTTGAGGATTGCAGGTTACATCCTTAGTTAAACATTCTGTTGTGATGAATCTAAAATGGCTGAAAGACACTGAAGAAAATGCTCAACATCCTTAGTCATAAGAGAAATGCAAATCAAAACAACTCTGAGATTCCATCCTACACCTGTAAGAATGGCCAAGATCAAAAACACTGATGACAACTTATGTTGGAGAAGATGTGGGGTAAATAGAACACTTCCCCATTGTTGGTGGGAGTGCAAGCTGGTACAGACAGTTGCTTTGGATATCAGCATGGTGATTTCTCAGAAAATTGAGAAACAACCTACCTCAAGACCCAGCAATACCAATTTTGGGTATATACCCAAAGAATGCTCAATCATACCACAAGAACATGTGGTCAACTATGTTCATAGCTGCATTGTTTGTCATAGCCGGAACCTGGAAACAATCTAAACGCCCCTTGACTGAAGAATGCATAAGGAAAATGTGGTTACACTGGAGTACTACACAGTGAAAAAAAATAACATTTTGAAATTTGCAGGCAAATGGATGGATCTAAAAAACACCATATTGCGTGAGGTAACCCAGACTCAGAAAGACAAATATAATATTACTCACTTATAAGTGGCTTTTAGACACAAAACAAAGAAAAACCAGCCTATAATTCACAATCCCAGATAACCTAGACAACAAAGAGGACCCTAAGAGAGACGTACATGGATCTAATCTACATGGGAAGTAGAAAAAGACAAGATCTCCTGAGTAAATTGGGAGTGTGGATCATTAGAGAGAGTAGAAGGGTGGGGGAAGGAGGGAGCTGAGGGGAGGAATATTCATAGCTCAATAAAAACATTAAAAAAAACATTCTGTTGCCAGAAGAGACAAGTAATGCTTACATCCTAGACCAAAACATTCTGTAGGCAAACCACTCCCTGAGTGGAATCCATAGTTGTCTCCCTAAGGGAGTAGGAACCTAGCTGGATTCTTAGACTTTTGTTTGAGGTAGAAACAGATCTACTTCTTAACACCTGAAACACAAGGGCTGGATATTAGCCACACCCGTTGACAATAACCTTGAGAGAGAGAACTTTGTGAGCTCAGTCTAGGTGGGTCTTTTGTTTGAGGTAGAAACAGACAATAACCTTGAAAGAATAAAAAATAAGTTCTAATTCTCTGACCTTTGGTCATGGTGGAACAACTTTGAGCAAGCTGAAACTCTCTGACCTTCAGATCAAGCAGAAATAGGCTCACATTTTGGGCCTTCACAGGCAGGGGATATGGAAGGTCTGCTCAATGTATGAAAATGACCTGTAATACAATACTATGCATAATGAACATACACACCGAAAAACTAAAAGAAGACAAATAATTATCATATTCTTGTTGCACAAGATATTCAACTGGAATACAAAGGAATTGTTTTGAATTAAAACAAAGACCACAAGCCGGGCGGTGGTGGCACACGCCTTTAATCCCAGCACTTGGGAGGCGGAGGCAGGCGGATCTCTTTGAGTTTGAGGCCAGCCTGGTCTACAAGAGCTAGTTCCAGGACAGGCACCAAAAACTACAGAGAAACCCTGTCTCAAAAATCCAAATAAATAAATAAATAAATAAAATAAAAATAAAATAAAAAAAAATAAAACATAGACCACAAAGAATTAACTATTTAACTTAGCAATTTTGTCACTGGGAACTTGGCATGTGTAGTTTGAGTCAGATGGTGGAGGACAAAGCTATGAGAACGGCTCAGGACATTGCAGGCCTCGCACTTGAGGAATACAGTTGAAGGGGGAGCTGTCTGGAGGGATACGGGGAGTTGGCGGTGCTTTTTTGTTTTGTTTTAGGGTGGAAGACATCACAGTGTTCTTGTGTGCTGCTTGTAATGATCTCGTAGGTGTGGATGCTGATGATACAGGAAAGAGGAAGACCATTGCTAGGGGGATGCCTTCAAGTAGGCAAGGAGGTAGGAGCTTTCAGTGATGTGCTGGGGCTGACTGCAAAAATAGCCTTTACTAAATATCAATTATTATACAGTTATAATTAAGGTATTATGTATATTTATATATGTTTGCTTTTGAGGCAGTAAATATTTAAGATGCATCACTTGTTGTTGTTGGTGCTACTTTGCTCATTATCTATATTGAGGTTATCTTTTACCACCCCTATGTGGATGGTGGAGATACTTGCTGGTCCTGTACTTTATTCCCAATTCCATAGTGAGATTAGCTTTAAGCACAGTAGCATCATCATCACAAGAACTGGCAACTTAGAGAAGAAAGGATTCTGTTCAATTTGCCTTATGGGGGGGGGGGGTGATTTGTTAAGTATTTGTCTGTCCAGGCTGGATTTGGAAGCCAGGTAGACAGACTGTCCCTAAACTAAGTGCGGAAAATTCACCCACAAGGAAGAGGTAAAAAGCTTCCTATTACTGAGTGAGGAGGTCATCAGGTTATGGCCTGGGAACCAGGCAGGGAAAGGAGGCAGTGGCACCCTGCCATGAAGGGAGGGTTTGTCTCCCAGAGTGATCCCGAATAGCACGGGCAAATATGGACGTCAAAACCTCAGGGAACGTTCCTGTTCAACCTAGCAACCATGTCTTAGGCCCTGTGATTTTACTTGACAACATTATTGAGTGGGTGTCAAATCCCACACCGCATTCATTTTACCCAACAGCAGGACAGGTCAGATTCTCTGCTGAGTCTGTAGTGTCTTGCACACAGCACGTGTGCAGAAACAGGTGAATAATTTAGTGAATAAATGCAACATTTGCTTCCTCTATTAACAACTGCTCTTTGGAGGAAGGGATACACTTCTTTTGTATCTTTTTTCTTGCAGGCTGTTGCTTAACCTTAGCCAAGGAACTTCCTCGAGTTGCTCGCAAAGGCGGACTCTCTTTCCTAGATTGTTCTGGGAAAAGAGCAGCTTCCTCCTCTCCAGAGGCCCAGTCCCACTCCTCTGGCAGATTAGTGACGCGTGCAGCCGCTGGCCTTTGTCTGGCCGGATTTAGCTGAGCCAGGTTGAAACATCACACACACCCACAGTTTCAGGGCGGAGACTTAATGTATTTATTATATCTTTTTCCTATTTGGTTCTGTCAACAGAAGATATATTCTGTGACCTCCGGCAGTGACGGCTTAAAAATCTGGCTGCAAAGCGCAGGGTTGCAGGGTGTAACCGGGTGGCTCAGAGGCAGGGCACTATCTGCAGGCGTGGCCAGGGAGGGCACGTGTTTGAGACCGTCTTCCCCGTCGCTGGGGTCTGGGGCGTCTCCGGTGCTATCTTTAAAGAACACAAGTGAAAGGGGACGTGGGTGTGACCTATAGCCTTGTCTCCGAGGGGTACAATAAAGTTTAAGAAGTTTGAAAAGGGGTGTGGCCGGAGCTCGGCGAGGCGCCTGGAGAAGGGTGCGCGACATGGGGGTCACCGTGGACGTTCACCAGGTGTTCCAGTACCCCTTCGAGCAGGTGGTCGCTTGCTTCCTCCGAAAGGTATCAGTCCCTCCGACCCGGGCGGTGTGCCCGCTGCCGAGAGCCTAACTGTCCGCCCTCCCCCGCCCCCTCCCCCTGTAGCGCAATGACAGGACCCCAAAAAGCTCAGGGGTCCTAATCCATTCTCCGGGTCCCCCTCCAGCGCGCGTGCTGCTTTCGGGATGCACCGGGGAGGGTGGAGGCGGAATTCCTCGAAGGTTGCTCTCTGGGAGGAGCGGAGGCTGCCGTGCAGGGCCTCATGTCCGCATCCCACTTGCCTCAAGCGGATGTTGTTGGCTCTGGGTGGCTTCCCTGGGTGGACTGTCTGGTCCAGCCTTCTAGTTCATCACCCCCTCCTTCAGCTCTAAAACTCGGCCCTGAAGCTGTGATCTTGGTAGACTCAGCATTGCTACACTGTTTCAAGACTTTCTCTTTTCCTAAATAGCTGTGGGGCGCCCTGCAGAGCTCACTGTCTCTGGACCTTAGTTTGCTAATCTGTGGTGTGAGAATAACAGCGCACACTCCTAGTGTTGTTGCGAGGATTCGAGTGAGGTAATCAATTATTAAAGAGTGTTTATCAGAGGATTGATGGTTATAAGGTCTTTGAAATACTGCTGTTTATAATATTGCAGTTTTGTGTTCAATGGCCCTCCTGAGGGCTCCTCCTGGATGGTGCCTCAGGCTAACAGTACAGTGGAAAAGATTCTTGAGAACTGGTTGTCACCCAGACCTGTGGGGTGCGATCCTGGACTAATCTGCTTCCAGTTCACTTAGGTCTCTGGGTGGCCCTGGTCGGAGGTCTTCTCGTCAAGATTTTGTGTTTGTAAGATGAGGAGTTGTACCTATAAGTCTTCTAAGTCCCTGTAGCTGCCTGTGAATTGTAGTATGGGATCTGGCTAGCCTGGAAGATAGCCACGGGGTGCTGGGAGGGTGGTCAGAACCTCCATTACAAGAGGGGCCTCCATTGCTGAGAGAGACACAGCTGGGGACCCAAGGTAGGGTATTCAGTACAGTGTTGCTGTGGAGATCTTTGTTTTTTTCCTTTCATTTCCTTTTTTTTCTTTCTTTCTGTTTGGCTGGAGGCTTTACATCCAGCCCCCTGACTGAGGCAACTCCCAGGGGAGGGAGCTTATATGGGGTGAAGTTCAAGTCAAACATTTTCCTTTTTTTGGGGGGGGGGGATAGCTCATTGAACTTTGGGAGCTAGAAACATTAGAAAGTGCCTTGCACCTGCCGGGTCCTCAGCAACAGTCTGATGAATGAATGAAGGAAGGAAGGAAGGAATGAGTGAGTGAGTGAATCTGGTGTAGACTTTGTCTTGGACCAGGCTTCTAGGCACACGTGCACATGTTTTGTTCAGACTGGCAGTTTGGAGTGGGTGCCCAGTGCATTTTTGTGTTGGCCCCTTTTCTGCTGTGATGGTGTAATGAGCTTGCGAGGAGGAAATGGCTATCTTTGGTTCACAGTTATGAAGGCTCCAGTCCATAATTACCCGATCTAGCTTGATTTCTGTTGTAATAAAACATTGACTAAAGGCAGCTTGGGGAGGAAAGGGTTTATTTCAACTTACAGGCTGTATTTCATCATTGCGTGAAGTTGAGGCAGGAGCACAAGACAGAAACTGAAGGCAGAGACCGTGGAGGAATGCTGTTTACTGGCTCACTTTCCCTGGCTCGCGCGGCTAACTTCCTTCCAGTCTCTTGTAACAGCTCATGAAACTCCTTCCACAATTCTTCCCCCCAAAACGCCACGGTCAGGTCCATCACAGCAATATCCCCCCCTTCTGTACCAATTTCTGTCCTCCTTTGCTCCTCTGATGCATTGAGAAAACACTGGCCAAAAAACAACCTGGGGACAGAAGGATTTATTTCATCTCGCAAGCTCCCAGGCCACAGTCCATCACTGAGGGAAGACAGAGCATAATCTCAGGGCAGGGACCCGGAGGCAGGAACTGAAGCACGGGGAATGGAGGGACATCACTGGCTTATTCGCTATGCCTTGCTCAGCCTGCCCAGTTATGGCACCACTCACAGTGGAATGGACCCTCCCACACCAATCATTCATCAAGAGATTTTCCCTCAGATACGCCCACAGGCCAGTCTGAAAGATGAAGTTCCTCAATTGAAGCTCCATCCTTCCAGGTGATGCTACTTGATGCTAAGTTGACAAAAAAATAACCAGCCCAGTTGCACTGCCACTCTGGGCCTGTGGAGGGGCAGCATCTCAAGGCAGGGCCTAGGGTGGAGCAAACCTTGTGTCTGAGCCAGGCAGCTAAGTAGAAAAGGGTGGATGGACTGCGTTCCCATAATTCAACTCAAGGGCATGGACCCAATTTCTTTCTGCCATTCTCCACCTCTTCCAGAATCCACACTGGGCTGCCCTGAGACCTAACCATTAACACACAGTCTGTGGGGAGCAGTCAAGAAGCAAACTGTAACTGTCCTTTGGAGAAGGGTTGTCATCATGAGAAGGAGATCCCTGCCTTTTCAGAATGGGAGGGACACTTTGTCTAGGCTTCACCGACCATCTGGAAGGTCAGAGGTAACTTTTGGGTGTGTCCTCCTCCCCTTTCAACTCCTGGAGCAGATCTCCGTCCTCCAAACCATGCACACCACACCATACACACGCTCCTTTGCAGTGTACTCCTACGCAAAGGTTTCAGGTATAGGCGATGGGTTTTAAAGCGTGAGCCCAACATTAATAAATGATGACAGGTCAGCATAATTTCAATGGGTGATGCATACCTCACACAGGGAACCTGCAGGGTGGTGGGGAGGCCTGCAGCAGTCCTACATGGAGGACTTCAGGTAGGCTTTCACAGAAAAGTCACATCTATAAAAGGTTTGCTGAAACATAGATAGGCGTTTTCTAGGCAACCCATCATTCCCTTCCTTCCTTCCTCCCTCCCTCCCTCCCTCCCTCCCCCCTCCCTCCCTCTCTTTCTCCCTCCCTCTGTCTCTTCCTCTATCTTTCTCACTCTGTGTGTATGTGTGTATGTATGTCTGTGTGCACACATATCTGTATGTATGTATTATATATTTATGTATGTGTGTATACATGTGGGCATTTGCTCTGAATAACACAATATTGTCTTTACTTCTCCAAGCAGCCCAAGAAGTCATCATGACTGACTTATTCACGTCGTGGGGGAAACTGAGGCTCAGAGAAGTCTCAGTAACTCTTTAAGCACCCCCACCTAGCAGGAAGGAGAGCCGGGATCTCAGCCCATCTAATCGGAAGCCTGTGTCTTACCAGCACTCTGTGTTTCCAGCCCTGACACAGTGGCCACTCAGGAGATGAGTGGGAAGGACAGTGGTTCAGGGTTCTGCTTTGCTGGGTGCAGTGCTCCTTGATTCATTTGCTTTTCTTCTGGGTGGACCACTGTACCTAACACGAAGCTTGGCTTCGCTGTGCGATGGTGGGACACAACAGTTGTTGGCTGTTTTTGTGCAACAAATCACTCCAGAACTTAGGGACCTTGTCTAGTGACAGGCTTTTAATGCTGGCGATTCTGTGGGTTGACTGAGCTCATGTGGTTGGATTTAGTGTGTCATGTGGTATAGCTGAGGTCACGTATATAAGTACATTCAGTCAACATGTGATGCAATCCTTATAAGATAGTCCGCTGAGGGTTTGGCACATTTAATAACTATGGAGGGACCCAAGTGTGGTGACACATGCCTGTAATCCAAGCAATAGTGAGTCTGAGACAGGATGGTCATCACATGTTTGCGTTCACTGGGCTAACTAGCTGGATCCTGTCCTAGAAAACCCCAAACCAAACAAATGAAACCAACATATCAACAAAAAGGAATTTCTGTAGGCAGCCATTGCTGCTGTGGCTTATGAGAATAACTTCCTGTCATGTCCAGAAGACACTGTTTTCTTCTGGTCCTCCTGAGCTCTTACAGACTTTTCATCTCCTCTTTGAATGGTCTCTCTGAGGTATGTGTGTGTGTGTCTGTGTGTGTGTGTGTGTGTGCATGTGTGTGTGTGTTGGTGTGTACTCCACGGTCCCTTATGCTCTGCCATTTGACTAGTTGTGAGTTTCTGTGTTAGCCACCATCTACTTCAGAAAAATACTTCCCTGATGAGGTCGAGAGCTGTTAGACACTGAGTATTCTAGCATAGAGTGGAAAGGGGTTCCTGACCCTCCCTCTGGGCAGTTCATGGCTTCTTAGGGAGGGAGAGTGATAGAGGAAGGTCATTGGCTGATAAAGGAAATGCCTTGGCCCATTTTATTGGTTAGAAGATAGGTGGGAGGAGTAAACAGAACAGAACGCTGGGAGGAAGAGGAAGTGAGCTCAGACTCCATGAGCAGAGACACCATGCTCCTCTCTCCCGGGCAGAAGTACGCGATGAAACAAGCCACCAGGTTAGACATGCTGAATCTTTCCCGGTAAGACCGGTGCTCACAGATTATTAGAGATGGGTTGATCGGGATATCAGAATTAGCCAGTAAGGGCTAGAGCTAAAGGGCCAAGGCATTTCCTTTATTAGCCAATGACCTTCCTCCATCAGGAGAGTTAATTTTCCTCAAGGGTGTAGCTCCTGGAAGTCTACAATACTCCAGTAGATGGCCCCACACCTAGAACTATATGGACAGCATAACTTAGAGTTGATGGGATATATAATGATAATAATAATAATAATAATAATAATAAATGAGAGGACATGAAGTTGGGGTGGGTAGGAGATGTGAGTAGGTCTGGGAGGAGTTAAGGGAAGGAGCTGGGGATGAATATGATCAAAGTACATTGTGTGAAGATCTCAAAGAATTATAAAAATATTGATTTTCTAAAAAAGGAGTTGCTTCCTCAGGGTGGAGATGGTCCACTGACTCCCTGATTAGGAGTCCCCGTGCAATGAGGAACATGCTTAGCTGTACACATGGCCTCCTTTATCACTGTGATGCCACTACCTTCTCAGCTGGTTCTGAGGATCAAAAGTGTAACAGTTTGGCAGGCATGTGTTTTTTTTTTTTTTTTATAAAGCTTTGGGTAGAGTTATATTTTGGGCAA